TGCAGGCAGTGCCAGTGATGGGCAAGAGGGAGGAAGCAAAGTACAGTGGGAAATGAGATTACAGGGGTGGAAGTGAAGAGAATAGCACAGGACCAGGATCATTATTCAAAGGGGTCTCAGAATGCGGAGAACGAGCAGCCTGTAAAATAGGGGCACTGAGATCTACTTGGCTTGTATGAGATTAAGAATTCAAGTGATTTAAATACATAAAGTGGGATGGTAGTTATTGCTGGGCCTATAAGCTGAGGTTTTGAGCTCTGGGCCTGTTTTCTGGTGCTGACCTGGGTTATGCACAGAAAGCAACTGATGGGACAGCTTGCAGAGTGCGGTAGGAAGGACTACGAAGAAAGTGAGGAAGCTGAGCGAGGGTTCCAGCACACAGACAGGCAAAAAAAACAAAAACAAAACAAAAAACCCCCAAACCCCCAGGCTTCTTTGTGACATGCTGGCGATAGACGGAGCCTGGACTGAGACCCCAAGAAGGGTGACAATCATGCCTTCATGTGACTCTGCTTCATCTTGAGGAAGACTTTACCTGGGTGCTGTCCCTATTGTGGATATAGCTGAGATCACTGAGAGTAGGTACCATGCCAGCCAATCCCTGAGAGTCTACCTAAGTCACCTGGTGGGCAGCCAGGATGAAAGGGCTTTTTAAACCATCAGGAACTGAAGACATGCTCTTTCCTCTTGCCTCTACCCCAAGCAGGCAGCTAAGTAGTGGTGCTGTCTTTCCTGTAGCTATTCCCACCAATTCTAGGTCCATGGGGCTGCCCATCACCAAAGGTACTTTGCTGCTCATGGGCCTCAGCTGCCCAGCACACCTATAAAAGCTAAGAATATGTTATAAAACTGCCGTAAGGTTTTATGAGCCCTCTTTCCCAGGGACCGATCCTGGTGCTGTGAATCACACCAGCATCTGTATGTGGGGTTCAGAGTGGGGCTTGGTGTAGGCGAACAGATGGGCTAAGGAGAGGTAGCTTTGAGGGAGCAGCAGGATTGTGCAGCTACCAAAAAGCTCTGGGTGACCTTGGCTGACTCTCGTGCCTCCTTGGTTGGGCCATTTAATTTGTTCCCTGAGACAGGAACAAAAAAGAAGGGGTGAGGGTGGCAGAAAAGGAGATGTAGTGGAGCAGGACAAGGGTTTGGAGTCAAACAGACCTTAGCCTAGGTCTTACCTCCTCCATTTTTCACTGGGTACCTAGGGCGGGTCACTTAACCTCTTTGAGCCTTAGCTTTATCATCTGTAAAATGAGCATAATGGAAGGATTGTGCTCAGTTGTTCAAATGTGATAACAGATGTCAAGTGCTTAGCAAGATGCCTAGAACAAACTGGTCAATAATATTATATTAAATATAATGACAAGGGTTATTTTAATTGTAATTTAAAATGTAAGTATTATTTTTGCAAGTTGATTTAGTAATAAGTGTTCAATGAGTATTTTCTTAATGATCACATGAATGGATAGGTGAATGAACAAATATATAAACTGAAAACTATGAAGCATAGGAAATAGGAGAAAGAAAAAGAAAACCTAGCTTATCCCTGTCTCCATGAAACCCTCTCTCACCCTCTCTGGCCTCCATCTCTTCATCAAAAAATGAGAGCTTTACTGTATCTCCCAGCTCTTCATTCATTTTTTCATTTGTGGTTTTACTCAACATTTACTGAGCTTCTACTAGTGCTTTAGCAGTGTTCTGCGTACTGTGAACAAAACACACAAAACCCTTCCTCTTGACATTTGCTTTTTAGTGGGGACAGAGGTGGAGCATGCCAAAAAACATGATGAATAACTATGTTGTATACTAGACCAGGTGCCATTAGTGCTGTGGAGCACCAGACAGCAGGGTGAGGAGTTGGCACATGTCAGGCAAGGGCATCACAGTTTTTGCAGGAACATCAGGGTGGGTCTCCTCTTACATGCTGCTATTGGAACAGAACCGGAGTGGGGCAAGGGAGCAAGTCGTGCTGGTAGCTGGGGAATGTTGGTAGAGGGATATGGCAGCTTTCTGTCATCATAACAATCCCTGAGATAATTAACTTATAAAGAGATTTAATTGTGGTTCAAGTTATGGGGATTCCAGGCAATGGTTGGCTGGCTCATTGGTTTGGGCGTGTGGTGAGGCAGCATATCATGGCGGATGTGTGTGGTGGAGCAAAACTTCACCTCATGACCAGAGAGCAAAAGAGAGGAAAAGGAAGAGGCCAGTTGCTCACACTCCACTCCAGGAGTCTGCCTGCCATGACCTAAGAATCTCCTATTTGCTCTGTCTCTTAAGTGCCTCCAGCCCAAACAGCACCTGGGGCTGGGGACCACTTATCTGGACTGCAAGAAAGGAGGAGTTGGGGCAAGGCCCAAGGCAGGAGCTTGCCTAACACACTGAAAGATCACAGGACACACCTGTCCCCATCTTCACTGAAAAAGAAGATAGGCGGTGGGGTGTGTGTGTGTGTGTATGTGTGTGTGTATTCCCCACAGCTGACTGGGGAGGACTCCAGCTGGCTCATCAAGAGTCTCTCTGACCTGTACCACCCTCTCCTCCTGTCCTCATTTCTGCTGCTTCCATTCTGGCTAAGGCTCCCTTCCCTGACAATAGATGGTGTTGAGAAGGAAATCTCCATTTTCAATTCAATAATTTAAATGTCATAAATCCCTTTGCCAGATGAACCCCCAAATTGTGTAAAGACAGGAGAGCTGCTAATCAAGCATCAGAACCTACAAGAAAGAAGAGGGTAGGAAAGTGGCCAGGGGAGGCAAAGGCCAGGAAGACAAGCCACTCTGGCTAGGTCTGGTGACAGAGGGCTGGCGCCTACTTAAATTCTGCCACCTACTTAAATTACGGTGGGAAGAGCATGAGAGCAGGAGCACAGACACATAGTTCTGACATGACCCTGTTTTACTCAAGTCATTTCACCCTCTGGCCCCGAGTTTCCTCACCTCTGTAATTTGAGGATGTGAGATGTCTAATATTCTGGAAATCTAGTAGGCATGTGTCTATTTTTCTGTTAACCCCTAGAAAGATAAGTCTGACTTGTTTTTGTGTCGTCAGCATTTGGATCACAGGAGCAGTGCTGATGATACAGGAGGGCTGGAGTCTCAGAGAAGTCTCCCTACAGCCCAGGCCCAGGCCCTAAGCCATGACTCTTCCCTCACACATCCTGCTTGACTGAGCATTGACCTCGCTGGCCCAAGGGAGAGCCTATCAAGGGGCAGTGGATGGGAAACCTCAGTTTGTTTACTTTTCATTAACTTGTAGGGGAAAGGATGCTGGGAGCTGACTAGATGAGAGAAGAGGCTTGGGTCAGCCTCCGGAAGGCACTGTGAGGCAGTTCACCCAGCTCCTCCTCCCGCATCCTCTGTTCAGAGCCCTGACTCCACAGCACCTGCATGCCAATCCTGGGAGTCTTCAGCCCTATGCTGCTCTCACCTGGAGCCCAGCTGCCCTAATAAAGGGAACCTGTGTTCCTGCATGCGTCTCCATTTGCGTCCAGAGTGAGCCCTGCTGGCTCTGTGCAAGGCCCCGTAATCGGCTTGCTATTGATCTGTGGATGGTAATTCTGAAGCAACCATCCCGCTCTGCAGGAGAGCACCTGATGGGAACATGGTGATTATGGAGCAATGGTGTGAAGTGCCAAGAAGTCTCTAGAAAGCTACAGTGACCCTCAACCCAGCACAGCACTCCCAAGGAGGTGGAGATGGGGCCTCTGAACCCCTTCCTGCCCTGACTGTGGCAGCTGGGAAGAGGGAGAGCAAGGCTGGAGTCTCACTCCTAATCCCCATTGGTTGATAAGGCTAAGGCAGGGAGAACAGGAAGTAGTATGGACTCTGCGTCCTGCCTGCCAGCACCTCTTCCATCAAGGAGTTGAGGTGTTGTTGGTGACTTAAAAGTGACATTTCAGGCTGTTGTACTATGTGAAGTGCCTTCCCGTGGGAAAATAGCTCCAGATGACTGGGCCACATCTAAGCGGAAAGAAAGCCTGAGCCATTGACCTACAAAAATAACACGTGTAAAGAAAATCATGAAACCTAGCTTCAGCACCTTATTTCCATATAGTCAGTCCTGTGCAGTGAAATCCCTCAAGTCCTGGTTTCTGTCCCCAAGAAAGGCTTGGAGATACAGTGCTTTGAACCTTAGGTGTTCCCATGACAAGTCCTGAGGCCTTGGGAATTCTTTACATTTTAGAAGTATTAGTTAAACCCATTGAAAATGGGGATAGCCCCTTATATTCCCTCCATCGTCACACCCTCATCCCATCCATCCTTCTGGCTCCGCAGACTTTGAACAGGTAAGCAGCCTACCCTCTATGGATCACACCTATGAAACAGGATAATGCTGGATTAAATGATCTCTTAAGCCCATGTAGCTCTAATGAATGTAGTTCACAAGAATACTCAGCTGCTGCCACTCTCTCCCCACCTTTGGTCCTCATTCTGACCTTACCTTTTCCTGCTAGTGCATCCAACTGCCTTTATCTTCTTGGTGCACAAGTCTCCTTTCCTCCTATTCCTCCATCCCTCTGGGTTTGGAAAGATAGATGTCTCTTCACCAAGAGGTGTCCCTGAGAATTCTTTAAGTGTCTGGGAGGGCAAAAGGATCTCGTGTATTTTTGGTACCAGAGATGATCAGATAATTATGCAATTAGCAGTCATTTTATCGCCCTTGTAATTTTCTTCTAACAAGAGCCCCCCCTCCTTGAAAAAAGTATGAGGGATTTCTTTTTTCCTCTGTTGTTGTTTTGTCTGGAGTGTCTGTCATCAGAAATTTGCTCCAACACCTACGCGATAGTCGGGTAAGCGCGGGGGAAGAAGGGGAGGGTGAGGGAAGCGGAGCTCCTGGGAGAGAGAATCTGCCAAGCGGGCAGCTCTGCTCCGCTCCCTGCCGAGCGCAGACCGTGGGAGCGGACCGTGCAGGGGGAGGCTGCTCCAACCTCCAGAGCCCGCTCCAGTTTCTGCAGCGGTTCTCCCAGCACCACCCCCTTCCACCCTCACCCCCATCCTGGGCCGCTGGGGAGGGAGACTTGGGAAAAGCACCCGAGGCTGGGTGGGTGCAGCTGAGCTCTTCCAGCTGAGTGCGATCCAGGCCTTCCTGTTACGTGTCACCGCGCAGTTGGGGTGCAGGGGCAGCGCTCCAGGGCCCACGTGCTGGCATGGGTTCCCTGGAGCCCAGAACTGCGCTGCTCACAGAACTCGCGTCCCCCTTGCCACATGGGCTTGGTCACAGAAGGGACAAACACCCTCAAGGTCCTATGCCAGGTAATTACCAAGCAAATTCCAGGCGCTGCCCCCTACCCCAGGGAGGGGGTCAGCGCCTGCTGTGTGTTCCCTGATTCGGCCCGCTGTGCAATCAGCTCTAGATAACCTGCGGGGACCCGTAATTGCTCTGGAGTTGCCAGACTTTGCAAGGTAAGCACGCGCGATGCTTCTCCCGGCCCTGGGAGCGCGCGCGCCTGGTGCCACCCTCTCCGGGCCGGATGCCTGAAGCCTTGCTGCAGGTGGGGCGAGGTGCGATTAGGCGAAGTGCAAGGGCAGCTCTGCGCTAATGGAGCTGGGGTGGGAAGAGCTAGTGCAGAGCAGGGAGTAGGAGGGGAAACTGGGCGGCTTGTGGCAAGAGAGAGGCCACCTTGTCCTTTCCCAGGGCAGGAGGGGCCTCTAGGGACATGGGATCCTCCTTTCCTTCCCTCGGGTGCAGAGGCGCCTCATTGATGAGCCTTGTCATCATCCTTCAAGTGCAATTTTTTTAAATTGCAAAAATCTTACAGAGCTATTAACCTCAAAAGAGTTTAACATATGGCAGACCGAGTCTCCCTCTTACCCTAATTATAAGGCTTGCAGTAATGGGGCTGTCTTTTAAGTTACAGCTGCTGCGCTTTTGGCTTTCGCTAACATTACATCCTATTAAAGAGCTACATTAAATGCATGCAAATTGCCGCAGCGACCGCACTCTCCCGACCAATGAGGGGGACGGATTGCGGCCGAGGCGGCCTCATCGGGGTCAGACTCACCCTGCTGCTAGCTTCATATGATCTATCAATCAAACTCCTCTCATTAATTAACTAATTCATTAAATATCTTTATATATGAAGGCCCGGCCAGGCGGAACATTGTGTTGACAGGGACGTCCCGTCAGCACTTAGCCCTGCACTACCCTCCCCTCCTGCACCAGTTGCCCGGTGACTAAGAGAGGTCAACTTCCCAGCGTGTGCAGGCACCGGAGCAACCACCGCGGGGCTCCTGGTGGGGGGCGCCTCCTCCGTCGGCCTCCTTCCGCGTGATCCCCATCTGTACCGCCTCCCTGGCACGCCTGTCCTCCCTCCAGCGTGCTGTTCTAATGGGTTGTGTGTACATCTTTTGCCGCTGCTTTCAAGGCAACCAACCCCTAGCGGGACCGCTGGGAAGGGCCTTTCTCATCCAGTGGCCCTGCGCCTAGCACAGCGTCCAGCCCACCGTAGTCCTTTGAATGCTTACATCCCTTCCCTACTCCAGTCCTTTCAGCGTCTTTGAGGCCTTCCTCTGCTGCGCTCCTCAAAAGACACTCTGGAGCGGAGAGGACAGCTTGTGAGCTGTCCCTGGAGAGAGGACGGTGGTGCTGAAGGAGGGACAGGGATAGGATGGGAAGAGGAGAGGAATTTTAAAGTTCAGAGCTGGCCAACAGTGTAGGCGCAGTACCCAGACTCTGAAGCAAACTCCCCTACCAAGGAGAAGGCTGTGTGTTCCATGAACAATAGAGAGACATTTTAGAATGGTTGCCAGGTTGCTCTATGTTTGTACATAAACCTTAATATATACTATAGATATCAAACCCAGTAATTCATTAAATATGTATATATGAAGGCACACATGGGCAGAACATTTTGGTGACGGACAATGGCATGTGTGTGTGTGTGTGTGTGTGTGCACACTGGCAACTTATTGAGCATTATATGTCACTTTCCTATATTATTTAATTTAATGTTGACGACAATGTTGGTATTTATTTTTGCTTCCAGGCTATCAGAAAAGAAACAGAGGCTCACAGACTAGTAAGTTACTAGTACAAGGTTCAAGTGGCAGAGCCAGAAGTCAGCCATAGGCTTTCTGGATTCAAAGTACTAACTGCTATATCATCAGAATGCAAAAAAAAAATTTTTTTTCTTGAGATCAGCAAATGGGCAACTCTCTCCTTGTCACCTGTTGTACCCTCTTTGTCCACAGAGTTGTTTTTCTTTTCCTGAATTCTCAGCTGGGCTGGTGGGTTGGGAAGATGGAGGTCATAGCACACCATGTGGTAAAGGCTGCTAGCTCTTAATTGTGTTCAGAGAATTGGAGTGGTTTTCCACAAGGAGCACCTGGGGTAGATGGAACCAGCTGCCTTATCCTTCTGCATCTGAAAGATCTGGGTCTTGTGCAGCTGGGTATAAGAATGGGATAACAGGGGCAACTTCCAACCAGCTGTTGGAGAATACTCCATCCAGCTCCGGGCTGTACTGGAGAAGGCAGCATGGGTGTGAGGACTTCAGGTCTACGTAGGTATTAGCCTGAGTTCCTGTCATCCGTGCAAGTTCCCAGTCCACCCAAATGAAGTGTGGTGTGCAGGCAAACATGCAAAGCTCAGGAATTCCCAGGAAGGCACATTCCCAGATCTTTCTGTGCTGTCTCTCCCTCTCCCCTCCATCCTACTCACTCTCATACCCTTCCAAGACATGGGGCTAATGGACTTTGGCAGTTAGCACCTGTGATGTTGGTGTCACCAACCTCACCATGGGCCTCTATAGCTTCTTCTAGCCCCCTTGGTTCCCAAGAATAGTTTTTAGAATGGGGCATGCTGAGATAATGGGGGTTAATGGTAACTTCAGTATCAATTTTCCCTCCCAGAAGAAAATTCTCCAGACTTAGGCTGCACACACTGTAATAGTAAAAATGGCTCTAGATTTGAAAAATTGGCACGTTGGAGTCCAACAAGGCAATTTTTGAATTGTTCCATGCAGCTGTGAGCCTCTGGATACTATGCTGCTTGTGTCCTAAAGCCATGGATGGAGAGTATTTTTTAGCCCAAAACAGCTTGGAACTGGTTTTTCCTTCTCCTATCCCAATCTGAATTTGTTTTTGTAGTTGCTGTTGTTATTCACTTTCCCAAAAACCCTTGGAATTTTGGTCTCTACTTTAGCACCTGCTATAGCTATTGGATAAGGCAAGAGTATTGTGACTCTGCAGAATGTTCTTCTTACAGGCCTGAGGTCAGGGGCCCTGCAAAAGAGGATTTCCTGAAGAGGAGGGTCCACACACACAGGTAGCCAGGAGAGACTGGAGCTGCTCTGCTGCAGTGCATTTCCTACTCAGCTTTTCCTGGCTGCTGTCAGAGGTAGGTCTTTCTTGGACTGAATGACAAGAACCCAAAAGAGAAAGAATCTTCAATCATTGTGCAGGATATTTGATTTTGATGAGCTGCATCTGCTCTATTATAATTTAAGAACCACTGTGAAACCTAGTTTTACAAACATTAAAGTGCAAAATAAGGCATGTTAGAATAAAAAAGTTACAGTATATATATTTCAAGTAATGAAAGCATAGAGTGTAAGGACTGCAAGGCAGCTTACCAATTACTTAGTAAATGTCCTTGTACAGATGGGGAAATGGAGGTTGCCCAAGGTCACATATCTGGTTGGTGGATAAGATCTTCATCTCACTATGTGGTGCTTCAGGCATTTTGGGTAATGACCCAAGTGGCTGGGGGAAAGCCATTGTTCTGTTCTTCTGCTCTCTTCTTTCAGCTTATTTCCCCCTCTATCAGTTCTGTTAATGGAGGGACTTATTTGGTGACTCAAGATGACAGACAAATAATGTGTTGAAATGGAACATGGGACAAGTGCTGAACTGGTGGCTAACCTGCTAGCTGTTCTTGCTGCTGCTTACTCACTCTCATAATAGATCCTCTGATCTCTAGCATGTCCGTGGATCATCCTTTATTTCTCAGTTTAAAGTCCTGGCTTCTTTCCATGGCTTCCTACATTGTTCGTGAGATGACTTGTGCCTGTTTCTCTTATCCCAGGTCTCATGACCATTGGCCTCCCTCCAGGTAGCACCCATCTTGCTATGTGTTCTAGCACACTGACATCCTTTTTCCCTTCCTTAAAGGCATCTTGTCTTCATTTGTTGTTGCATTCCTTATTCCCCTTTGCACATTTGATTATTCCCTTTGTCCAGAGAACTCTATAGATAGCCTGTCCCCTCATTCCTACTGCTCTTCACCTGGTTAATTTTGACTTATCCTTCAGTCTCAGTTGAGATCCTAGTTTCATGTCACTGAGCCCCAAGTCTGGATTACCTCTACCTTCTAAAAGCACCCTGTATTTACCCTCTGCTACCACCTCTAAGTCACTGCTGCCACTGCCTATTGAAATCACTAGAAAGTAAGCTCCAGAGGGCAGGGGTGTGGTAGTCTTATACCAGGCAACTTGCAGACTGCCTGTCTCTTGATAGGCACTCTGTGGACAAAAGAATGAACTGCACAAAAACGATATCACTACCAGATAACAACAGCTGACATTCATTGAGTGTGTTTGTACTCCAGAAACTATGCTATGTACTTTATGTACATCATCTAATTAATATTAGTTCTTGCATTAATTGAATGAGATGAGAGACCAGGGTTCTAGTCCTAGCTCCCTCACCAGCTAACTCTGTGACTTTCAATAGTTACCATGGTTTCCTCTTCTTTAGAATGAAGGCTAGAGAAGGGAGTTCACTGCTCTGTTCTTATTTCTGAGCAGAGAGGGTATCAGGAGTCAGTAGAGTGGGCCTAGGGGGAATCAGCACTCAGGATTCAGAGAGCCAGCAGACACAGAGGGTCGCCTTTCTAGTCCCAAAGCAGGAGGAGAGGGATCTGGCAGAGGCTGGGAAGGGCAGCAGGTTGCTCTCCCATGCTGGGGTAGAGCTTCAAAATAGAGAAGCCCGCTGCTAGCTGAGTCATTAATGCTGGTCTCCTCGCTGCCACCTCGGGCATTGTCTGATTTAAGTGTAATAGCTTGTTTGGTGGATTTTGCCTTCTATAGAAATCCCCCCAAGAGTGAAGTGCTGCATTCAGCCGAGAGCACAGGCCTTTGTGCACTGATGGCCTGGCCTCGGCTGAATGTGTTCGGAGTTGGTTATCAAAGGGGAGGATAAATTAGAGAGCAGGGCTGAAAAGAGAGGAAGAGGGGGCCCATTCATGAGCATGACTGAGCACTTAGGCAGCTGACCGTGGGTCTGGGAAGCCCCAAGGCTGGCCTCTTGCTTTTTGGCAAGGGTAGTGCTATAGGCAGGGCTGGCTCTATGCTGTCAGAGCCCAGATTCTGAGACCCAGCCAGGCCCACGGGGGTCGGGCAGAGGTGCTGCAAGTGATCTTCATAAGAGAATAGCTGGGTAATGGCTTATTTTCTCTCTTTACCCTGATCTTTTCCTTTAAAGCCCTCTTTAGATGTTTTCAGAAGATTTAAGGCCCCTGCCCATTCATTGGATCCAATTCTGCAGGCTCTCAGAAGTCTCTTTAGTCATGGGGAAGTCTACAGGGCTTGGACACTTCTTTTTTATCAGCCCTTTCCAATGTGCCTCCCTATAGTAACTCCTTGCAACTCATACTTGCAAGCAAGGTTCTGAGGCCAGTTATATAGAACTCATGGATCAGACACAATGATGGAGCTCCCAGAATAGGCGATCCTGGGCAATCACCATTCTCTATGGACTTGGCTTCTGATGTCCAGATTCAGAGGCCAGGCTGGGCACAGCTGTCAGCTGAGTCATGAGCAGTACTGCTGAAATAACAAATCCCACCAAATGCCCAGTTTTTCCCTGCAAGATCGCCTCATTATTTTTCATTGGGTCTTTTACTCCCACCAGTCTCCATGGACCTCACACCTCATGACCCCCACAGAGGTCATTCTTCCAGGACCCAGAGATCTGCCTTTTGTCTCTCCATTACAACTAACTCTGAAAAGCAAAATGTTGGGAGCATATTGTTTTCTATCTGGAAGGAACCTGACAAACGAAGCTGTAGATCTGTTAAACCTGTTTTAAGTTGCAGATACTTCTAAGAATTATCTGAAAGTTATGACTCCATATCCCCCACAAAGCACATTTTCATGCATATACAAATTTGCGTGTCATTTCAGGGAGGTTACGTACTGCAAGTTTATGAATATGTCTTACCTTGGTTGCCCCTCTGAAATATCTGAAAGCATCTAATAATATTCTGAGCTCTGGGTCTTACACAAGGAGGCTAATTTGCCCAGGGTAGGGTCTGGACATTAGTATCTTTTCCCTAAAATATTCTAGGTGGTTTTTATGAAGTCAGTGGGGTTGAGGGTCATTGTCCTAGAGCAGTGGAGGCAAACTGATGGCACAAGTGTTATTTTTCTCTTAAGATCAAAGATGTCAATGTATGAGTTATCTTTTCTAAACAAAAATTTCAGTATTCAGGATTAATTACACTGTTGACATTTTGAGAGATATAAGTGGATTTCAGGTTGCAGTCTGGGCACTCACCCTGAAAGTTTCACCATCACTGCACAAGGGGCTTGAAAGACCCTCCCTTCAAGTTCAGAACCCAGCCACACCTGCGGACAGTCAGAGCTGCCCAGAGATGAGCATGGAAAGGCTGGTGTTGGGCAGCTGTTATGAATAGGTTAGACACCATGAACAGACTTATCATTGTGCCCACTGCATTTAAAATCCTTCCCTTCTTTTCTCACCCCTTGAGAGATGCTTCTTTGGTGTTCACTTAAAATAATTTAAGCACACCATGGTGGGAAAGGAGCTTGGTTGCCTTGATGTGCTCTTGTCATTTCAAGGAGCTCAATAAAAATTTAGTTTTGGGGCTTGCTCAATACAACTTCTGCATGGAGGTCTTATGTTACAAACCAGATTTCTCTTTTCATCTGGTCACCCCCAGGGAAATTGTGTATTTGAAATTCAAACAATATTTGGGCAAAAAGAATTTCTCATTGTATGCGGTGGGGAAGGGCAACGAGAGGAAAGCGCTGGGAAATGATTGAGTGACATTTCTATTTGCCAGTTTGACTTCTCCACCAGTGGAGGCCGTGGTTTGGGGCTGCCAGAGAACTTCAGCTTCCTGGTGTGGACTAGAAATGCCAGACCCCTGGAAACAAATAAATGGGAAGAAGAAAATGCGAGGAGCAAGAAATGGATTTGAAGAGTCAGTGTGACCTCAAGTTTATATTGCTGGTAACAGAGAAGTGTAAGGTAGGCAGAGAGTTCTGTGTTTTGCACAACTTCTTCCTAAGGAGGGGATGTTTTAAATGCTAGGCTCTCAGGTTGAAGGGAACTCAGAAGTCATCTGGATCTGCTTTCTTTGGTACGTAGAGAGAGGCAGATGTCCTCTGTAAAATCCCCACACTGGTCAGACACTTAAATGAATATATTTAATGGATAAATTCATACAAAAGATATTTATGGAGCATCAACAACATTTCACAGGTAGTAAAGTACAGGTATTTAGGGGATGTTAGAGACTATCAGGACATAACACTTGCACAAAGTAACTCACAGCTTCCTGGAGGACTCCAACAGCTAAGTGCCAGGGAGACAGTGATCAGTGCTGTGAGAAGGAAGCTGAGGAGAATATTGGCCTTGACCAAAAATCCCTTAGCAGCCAGGTGCTTACCCAAACGATCTCCTTTCATCCTGACACCGACTCCTGCAAATAAGACCTCTTATTCACAGGCAGTGACAGCTGATGTTCGGAGGGGTGAATTTGCTTTCTTGAGGTGACACAGCCAGGAATGAGGAATAAGAGAGCATGGCAACACTGTCTGTCCCAGGCCTGTGGTCTTACCACCAGGACAAGCGACTTTGCAAAAGTGAGTTTAAAGAGGGCACACACTGGTTTTTGGCCAGGAGTGGGCATTGAGAAGGGAGGAGTTGAGGCAGGTGGTAGTGGGTGGCAGAAGGGTGCCACTGGGGGAAGGAAGGCTGAAAGCACACCAAGGCTTATAGTACTTGAGAAAAAGTGGCCCTTTGTGTTGCATGTAAGGCAGGAAGGGTGTTAGAACACATATTTGAAGCAGGTGGGACCTATAATGGGAGAGATGTCAGACTGCTCTTGAGTGAAGAGTAAATATGACATGATCATTGCTACTCTTCTCTTATGAATGAGTGGTAATTTTCATTCCTGGCTCTAACCTTGGGCAAACTGTAACCTTGGGCTGTATAAACTTGAGTTGATTATTTATTTTCTCTGTGCTTCAGTAGCCTTGTCTGTAAAATGGGAATGATCAACAGTACTTTCTGCATGGAGTTGTAAAGGTCACACAATTAAAACACTAGGAGTACTTAGAAAAGTGACTGGCACATGGTAAGCCCTTCTTTAAGGGTTGAGTGTAATTTTTACCTCTTGAGATTTGATTCTAATAATGGTGTGTATAATAAGGGATAAGAGAGGCGAGATAGAAGGCCCAGATGTTACTTCGGAGCCTGTTATAGTGGTCTAGCCAAGAGTGTTGAAGGGTGTAACTCTGCCTGGTAATACTGGTCCTTCTGTAGAGAGATGTGAAAAGCCCTGGGGATGTAGAAGCCAGTGTTGTCACTCTACTTCTAGCTGTAGTGAGATGGCTTTGCATGTAGCTTTAGATTTCTGTGGGCTGGAAGAATACAGGGGCAGCCACAGAGCTCAGCAGTTCTGGGAAAGATTGCAGGTGAGGGGGTGGAAGAGGCAAAGTTGGATGTAATATGTGTTGAACAAGAGTGAGAAGCAACTGTAGAACCCAGTGAGGACACGGGATGGCAGGCTGGTCTCGCACTGGACTCCGTTCTCTGTTTCTTTGCCCCCTCCTAGGTCCCAGGAAGTCCCATGTCTATGTGCCCTCTGCTGTGTCCCCTGCATTCCAATTACAGTTGCTTCTCAAAATGGCCAGGTTCCTCTTGACCTTGGGTCCCCATCAAAGCAGGAGGTGTTTGCCACTGCTGCCTTGGGGTGGGCTGACTGTGGGGGTGGGGTGGGTGGGCAGAATCTCTATACTGTGTGGACTGTGAAAAAACAGGCAAGGATGTGGGGGATAATGGTCAGTCACTGTAGAAAACAAGCACTGTATTGCGGGAGAAAAAACTTGAGTGACCAGCTTTGGGGTTGTTAAGTACGTTCTGTTGCCATAAGAATCCCCTCCTGGAGGTCGCAATGCTCTTCTGAAATCTATGCCTCTGCCTGATATGTAGCATCGTTGGGTGTGATGGATGTCATCTTGCTGCACCAAGGTGGCCACTGCTGGGTAGGGAGGCTCAGCATGGACCCCTCCCACAGGCCTCTGTCCTCTAGTCAGTGTCACTTTATTTGCTGACCACATTGTGGCAGCCCTCATGGCTGCCATTGGCATAGATTCTGATGGTTCCCTGAGTTACATGTCAGGGATTCAGACAAAAGGTTTGCAACTGGAGGGGTGAATCTTAGGACAGAATTGCCAGCTGCTGTCAACCAGCAGCTCTGCTCTCTGTAGCACACACTCTAGACAGGTTGCAGCATGTCAAGCCGAGGCCTGCCTGGGCTTGGCAGGGGTCCTATGGGCAGACAGAGTCAATTACCCAGAAAGGGTTCCACTTAACTTCCCCCGCTGCTCACAGGCCCTGCCCTGGCCTCTGCAGCCTCACTGGCCTCTGCCAAAACATCGTCAGCCTAGATGGACTTGGCTGCCTGCCAACCCTGTCCTCAGGCATGTCCAGTGCCACCCATTCCAGGGGCAGACTTCCAGCCCTCATCAGCTCCAGGGCTCCCTGTGCTGGCCTGTGGCCAGCAGATTCCGTTTCTCCCACGGCAGACCCACCTGGCAGGATCCTTAGGTGGGAGGAACACCAATAGGCTTCCTCATTTATGATGTCCATTGGCAAGTAGCTGCCCCCCTCTTATGACATACACATCCCACATGGTCCTAATTCTCCACAGCCACCTGTGCTGGTGTAGTGCATGGTTGCAATTTGGGGCTTTGGATTCAGACAGAGGTGGCTTTGAAGGCTGGTGTAGCCAGCCTGGTCACTGCTGTGTGACCAGGCAGATGACTAACCACTTTGAACTTGAATTTCACCATTGGTGAAATGAGAACAGTAATGGTATATATCTCATGGGATTTTTGCAAGGATAAAAGAAGACTGTGGGCATTAAGTACACCATGCGCCGACACATGATAAATGCTCAACAAATACGTTTCTTTCTCCTCCATCTTTCACCCCTTTCCTCCTTCCATTCCCCTACCCCTTCTTTCTTATTGCAATCCACATTTCTCAGGAAGTTTGTTTCCATTTTTCTTCTCTGCTCTAGAGACTTGAAGGCAGAACCTGTAGTCATTTAGCCATTAAGTCAATCAGCAAAAGTACACTTATTTATTTATTTTTGTTTTTTTTGAATCAGGGTCTTGCTATGTAGTTCAGACTGGCCCCAAATTCATTATGTAGACCAGGCTGGCCTTGAACTCATGGTGATCCTCCTGCCTCAGTCTCCTGCATACTGATAGGTGTGCACCACCGTGCCTGGCTCCAGCAAATACTCATTGAGAGAAAGCTGTACCTTTTGTGAGCCGAGGGTTTAAAGGCAGACAGGCAGACAAGTCCAGATTCCACCCATCAAAGAGGGAGCCGTTTGATGGGGAGGTGGGCAAGAAAGTGTTACAACAGGAGTGGTGTGCTCTGACAGATGTTGAATAACGCCACTGAAGGAGAAGGGTTGCGGGGCTGCTGGGACTCGGTGGGAAGCCTCATGCAGCAGGTGCATTAGGATTTCACTGAGAAGTGGGGACACAGTGTTACAGCTTCAGGATGAAGTGTCCCCCAAGGACTTTTACTTGAGAGCTTGATCATGCGGCCATGTTCAGAGGTGGGGCCTTTGAAGTGTGATTAGGTTATGAGGGGTGTAACTTCATCAGTGGATGGATTCATAACTCCACAGAATTACTGGAAGGTGATGGGAACAAGAGGTGGGGCTAGTTAAAGAATGGATCATGAGGGTATCACCTGGGGAACGTGTTTGGTTCCTGAGCCTTTCTCTCTGGCTTATTCCCTTTGCACTGCCATGCCCTTCTGACATGATGTTTCTGCCTCACCACAGGCCTGAAACAATGGAGCCAGCCAACAACAGACTGAAACCTCCAAAACCATGAGCCAGAAAAAAATCTTTCCTCCTTTAACTTGTTTTTCTCAGGTATTGGTCCCAGTGATAAAAAGCCAACTAATACACACAGAAACCTACACTTTGCATGAATCTTGGGAAAGCATGATACCTAAGAATGGAACATGTGCCTGCTTCGTGAGCTCCAGCCACCAGATATCCTCAGTTTCTGCTCTTGAAATCTGCACACTGGTCTTTCTGTCCAAGGGAACTTTCCTGGGAGCTGGGTCACACATAGGGCAGAATGTGCTCTCTGGGCGTCTCTCAGGAATGCAATAGTGTGTCCCTAACTCTCTCCCTGTCCATGGAGGTGAGTTGGTAAGATGGACTGATGGATTCTATGAGCAGTGTCTGCACCCCAGCCCTATACTGATTGTGCTAGACAGAGCTGTTTAAATACCACCAGACAGAATATTACTTAAATTAAAATGAGGCCTTAAATGTCATTATTTGTGTCATTATTAATAGCCCCTAATTGTGTTCTCTAATCATCATGAAATTATGTTAGTATTAATATTCACGTCAAAGCTGCCTAGGGAACTTGAAAGATTTAAAAAAATTATACCATATGTCAGTTCCCATGAACGTGAAGCAAATTCTGGTTTTAGTGCTTAAGCTCAGGCTGGAGATGAGACAGTGGGCTGCAAGTGAGACTGGACTAGCCCTCCCCTCCTCCTCCCCAAGTGACTTGCTCCTGGTGGCTTCTACCTGGCAAGGTCCTGCAAGGCATCAGGAGGACCAGTTTCCCTGGAGTACCCTGCAGGTCTCAGTTAGTTACTCCCACTGGCAAGGGGAATGGAGAATGTTTGCGCTCTTCTCTCCTCTCACACCAACAGTTTCCTTTGTCTAGACACCAAAATTAAACCTGTGCTATCATCCTGTTCTGCCTGTCCTCAGTCTCCATCTATTCATAGGCCCCACCTCAGTGCATTTTGAAATCTGTCCATACGGCTTGGAGAAGTGACAAGAAAGAAAGAAAGTTGAGTGTCCTCAAGAAATGCACTGCATAATATAATGTAGAATTTTCAGACAATGTAGAGTCAAAATTTAAAAGTATGTCCATACAGGGCATCCATAAAATCTGGAAACAGGTGAAGCTATCTGCCCCCATGGATATCTTTGTACTGTAAAGAATAAAATAGTACTATTCTTGCTTGTTTCTTCTCTTTATGGACAATGTGTTTGTTGCCCAGTGCCGATCTTGCCAGGCTTCTTCAGGGAAAACAGTGACTCCAAATATTGGGGGCCCCCCTCCATGTGCTTTCTTTTCTTCACAGGAGCAGGGTGAGCTGAGTTATGCCTTCTCTCAGCTTACATGGGACTCCAGTTCTGTGTACCCCTTAGACTGGCACTGGGTAGGAGAGGTGGGGTGGTGAGAAAGCAGGCGACATAGCCAATTAGAGCTCCCCTCCCTGTGGGGATTTGTGGGGCAAGTGCCCTGGGATGCCCAGAGGCATCAGCCTCCTGCTGACATCAGTCAGGGCTCCTCTTCATCATTTCTACAATATTCCTCTAGGCTGCCTGCTCAACACCTCAGTCATCACTAATGGAGTCCACGTGACCACGATGTGTCAGACAAATCTGGGGCAAGCGCCTCACTCTCTTCCCAGAGCCCTTGGAATTCTCTGGAACTGAGAATATTCAAATGTCTTTCTTGGTGAAACAGCAGGCTTCCAACCCCCCAAATATTATGACTTGAGTTAAATATAACCCAGAGCATGAAAATAACAGCACAGCACAGGAATGAAGAAGCTATGGAGTGAGCAAGTTGCACACACATTGTATTTGTCACCGTGGGTGTGGCAGGTTATCCACAGACCCCACAGCCACATAGGCAGAAAACCCCCAAAGTCACACAGAAGGCTGGGTGTATTCTGGGCTGGTGAGTAGCTACTTCAGTCTGGGTAGGCTATAAATTTGCTGATCTCTCTCTTCCTTACTCTCTCTCCCTCTCTCCCTCCCCACCCCAGTATAAGATGTGGTTTATTTTACTAAGTGGGAGGAAGAACTGCTTTATCTGTGGTGTGGAGAGAAAGGCTTGCCTGCCTTCTCAGCCATGAAAGGAAGCTTGGGTGGGACAGGCGGTGTCAGCTATGGCCAGGCAGGCTGCTACTCAGCTCTTAGCGTGGACCAAACAGCATCACCCCTCAGCCACTGGGATGCTTTGGAAGATAGTCTAGAAGAAGCAGCCTTGGGCTGTGGAAGGGAGGTGTGTAGATGTGTGCTTGGGACCGTGAGCCAGGTCTGCAGCCTGTGCCTTCCTTGTCACAGCACACATGAGTTTATGGTGAAAATTCAGCGGGTCGTAGATAAGCAAAAGGTCTCCTGAAAGCCAGCTGCTGTGAATTCCAAACCCAATGATTACTGTAATTGTTGGCCTAGGGCTGGATTTGAACCAGTGAACCTAGAAGAGAAGCATTGAATAGGTCCCTTTTCACAGCAGTTCCCCCGCCGAATTACCTAGCAACACAGCATATGACTGATCCTCTCCCCTGCACATTGGGCCAGAGAGCAAATGGCTCAGGCCATTCCAAAAGAGCAGATATATTGACATCTTCTTTGTAATGCTGGCACCTTATGCATAGAGGAGGATTTATAGCATTTGTAACATGCTTTAACTTAAATGACCTCCTTTGATCCTCAAAAGGTAAGTGGGGCAGGTATAATTATCTCCCACTGTACAGACAAGGACATTGAGTCTCAGGGCAGATATGGGCCAAAGGCTACGTAGCTCACAAGAGATAGAAGTGGAGATGACCCAAGCCTTCTGATTGCTAGTGCTACCTTTCAAATAGCCACCTTTTAGAGGGGACATCACTCTCTATGCCTCCACCACATCAGAAGCAGTTTGGGAATGCTGGCATGAGTACTGTAAAGGCAGCAGCAATGTTGAAGCTCCCCACCTTTCCCCAAATCTGTTGTTTTTTCCAGCTGTATCTCAGGTGTGCCTGAGATCATGTCCAGAGGGATGTATGGGACGGTATGACAGCAAGCGGGTGGGAAGCACTTCATTCTCAGGGTCTTGGCTTTTGTTCTCCGTGGTTCCATTCCTCTTACATCTGAAAACAAACCTACAAAAGCACCTGTCCTTCCTCCCTACTCATCCATTCCCAAGGCATCTTGTTTGAAAGAGGGCTTGGGTTGAGGAAGGGGGCCCCACCTTGGCTGCTGAGGTGAGAGTTTTAGGAACAGCCAAGGGACGATGCTGAGGTTACCTACCCTGAACTCACACCTGGAACTGCCTCCTGTTTGAGGAAAATAGACACACATACTGTGGACACTGTGGAACTCACAAAAACACCTGATTCCTCTGGCACCCACTTCTCTTTCTCTCCTGAGACACACTGTCCAGTTTCCCACTTTCGTGGCCCATAAACCTTCCCCCACCCCCAGCTTTCGCTCTACAAAGGCCCTGCTAGAAGCTGACAAAGCTGACTGGCTGCTTAATGTGCTACAGGTGTTGTTGCTAGGCAACCACCCTACTCTAGCTCAGACTCTGTCAGCCCAGATCAAACCCCTGTTAGCACTTAACCCCATAACTGCTTAACACAAACATTAATTACTCAGGCCCACCAAATAACACATTTATAAGCCCTAATCAAGGCTTGCAAGGGTGGATTCCCAACTCCTTCACTCTTTAACTGACACTTCAACCACCAAGGCCTCAGGCCTTTTGGTTGTAAGTGACGGTTTTGCTTCTTTGGCCACTCAAGGTGGAGGTTGGTCATTCTTCTTCTCTGGACTGGATTCTACCGAAGCTAAGCAAGTGCCTTCAGTCATCTACTCTTTTGTCTCCAGAAAGAGTATGCATTGCCTGCTCTTGCATTTCAAACTACTTTTGGATTAAGAATCTTGGCCTAAAACCTCACAGTGACACTTCAAATAATTTTTTTGATGCCCGAGTCAGTTGACTTGCAATAACCACTGACACTGGAGGATTTTTATGAATTCTATACATAGGCTCCTTTCCCTCAATGGAACAAATAATTCTTTGGGTGACCAGAAAACACAGGAAGTTCTAGACATATGGAGAAAGATGTTTTTTTTAGAATGTAGCCCAAACCCCATTAGAATTGATCTGTCTTGAGTTGGCCAGTGTATAATTCTTTGGGTGACCAGAAAACACAGGAAGTTCTAGACATATGGAGAAAGATGTTTTTTTTTAGAATGTAGCCCAAACCCCATTAGAATTGATCTGTCTTGAGTTGGCCAGTATCTCCTTGATGGTGATCACATGGCTCAGTTCTTCAGAGGTGCTCAATGAGTATGTCTTTAATTTCTATTTTTTAAATCATTCAGAGGGCTCCATAAGAATGACTTAAGTGTAGAGCAATCTCCTGTCTCTTCTTCCTACCTTTTATAATTAGACTAAACTGCCTATAAACTAGATTACAGGAGATTTCCACTGACACTCTTTTTTTCCCTGCTGCTTGTCCTGATGGCAATAGGCAGGTACAGGCCTGTTGGTCCCAGAAGTGGAGAGTCCTATCCCTTCCCATTTAGGCAGCTTAACCCAGGTAGACTGGTACCTCCCCATAATGCCAGGAGCTGGATGGAGATTCAAGGGTCCGCTGCCTCTCTATTTCTCAGTTGGAAATATTGTTTAACCTTTCTATTGGCAATTGTCTAGTTATTCAGAGATGGGGACCAGAGACATTTTGCTTTCTTTGCTCATTTAAGTTCATTATTTCACAGATTTTAATCTCCGAGGCCCACCTCTCAGTAAGTATCATGTTCCCTGAGTGGCCTGTGACAGGTGCAGTAGTAGTGCTCATGAGCTCATTCTCATTGAACCTTACCAGGGTCCTGACATACAGCTATGACTGTCCCTGGCCTGTGTGTGAAGCTGAAATTCAAGGAGGCTGAATAACTTGTTTCAGTTTGCACAACTAGTACATGGCACTGCTAGCCTTCTAAAGCCTAGTTTCTCCCATATCTTAGCTACTTTTCTTGTTGCTGAGACAAAATACCCAACACCCCAAATGAAAGGAGAAAAGGTTTATTTTGGCTCCCACTTTGTAGAGGTTTCAGACCATCATCGGCTGGCTCCAAGGCAGGGTGACATGGCAGAGAAGAAACTGTTCATGGCTGGCAGAAGATAGAAAGCAAAAGGTACCAAGCTACAAGCAACAAGCCTCTTTCTGTCCCTTATGTCTTATACATACCACCACCCTTAGCGCCCTTGGTCGTAGCACTGCACCATGAATCAATCTCAGTATTACACGTTCTAGATTTAGCCACCTCTGAATAGCCCCACCTATGACTATGTGAGGCTTTGGAGGGGATATCTAAACCAAGCTATATACCCCATCCTGATACTCTGCTTCCCAGGAGGTTAGAAAAAAATTACAGCTTAGAGAAGTTAGTGACTTGCCTGAGCTCTTGCTGTGGGGGGGGCAGAGATTTGAATAAGGATTGATCACACTCTAAAGCCCTTTTTATGCTTTGTTTCCTATACCTCACTGTGTTTCAGAGTTCTTCCTTCAGCATCTGGGTTGGCAGTGCCTCCTTAGAGGTGAAATATCTGTATATCCAGTTTGGATAAGTGGATTCTAGGGAGCCGCATAGAGTGCAGAAGACTGCATCCTTGGCAGGCTGTGTCCTAAAGTGGAGGGTCACTGTTTATCTCCTTCTCAATTCTTTCAAAGGGCCCTATTTGAGAAAGGAGGAGGAGGAGATGAGGGGGGAGATATTCCAGCAGCACATGGCTCCCTGCTTTCCTCCCACATCTTGAGTCAGTAATGCCTTGGCTTTGAGCTAAGCCGTTCTTGCCAGCTGGTGGCATTAAGAGTTGGGATTGCCAGTTTGGTCACAGGTGACGGATTTGGGCACATCGTTGTGGCCCTGGCTCCTTCCCAGTAGACCCAATGGGTCATGGAAAGCTCAAGTTGATGAACTAAATGGGGGAAAAAAGGGACTGCCTATTATAGGTCTAAACGGGGGAGGGATGCCCCCGTGAGATTAACACTTTCATGCAAGTGGTTTCTCCATAAAGTATTAATAATGTTCCTATAATTGATACTTCAGGGCAATAACCTCTGACAAAATGGCCCTGATTAGCAGATAATTGAGTGTGTTGGATTGTGTCCTGAGAGAGCTGAA